TAACGAGGGGAACACGCCCCCAACTCGTTGCAGTGGATTTCGTGGCCGTTACCACCGGGTGAAACGAGAAAAAATTTGACCGTTGGCGTATTAAACCTTTGACTTAATTAAAAAAATTAAAATTATTTATTCTTTTCCTATATAAATACCTATTATCTAAACAATTTTGTACACATACCTTCTCTTTTTCTCTCTATATAACCTCAATTATCTTCAAAAAAAATTATGGATCCTTTTGACTCGTCGATGATTCCGATAACGATATATTCTTCAGGATGATGTATCATCATTACACTAATGACCTGTTACAACTAGACCCAACCCCGCTGCTAACGAGACGTGCGATGTTAAATAGAAATCGCGAGGAAGGACATGAGCATCTATATCGCGATTACTTTGCGGATAATTGTGTATACGGGGCGAAGGACTTCAAAAGAAGATTTCGTTTGAGTATGGATGTGTTCTTACGAATCGCCAACGCTTTGGAAAGCGGTATCGCTTCTTTACTATATTTTTATACAAAATAAATAAAAATTTACTACATGTTTCTTTTTAAACTTACAACATATGCAATATATTTTTAAATTGTAGTTAATTTATGTTTAAGTATGAATTTTTTCAATTGAGATATGATGCTAGAGATAGAAAAGGGTTTACAACGTTGCAGAAATGTGTTGCGGCCATTCGTTTGATGGCTATGAGGGAGTCACCCGACACCATGGACGACTATATGAGAATGTCTGAAAGAACCGCAAGGGAGAGTTTGTATACATTGTCAAGGGGTGTTATCAAAACATTTGGACACGTGTATTTGCGAAAACCTTCGTTGCATGATTTGCAAGAATTATATGTGGTGCATGAAGAACACCATGGGTTTCCCAGAATGATCGGAAGTATTGATTGCACATACAGGAAATGGAAAAATTGTCCGGTAGCATGGAAAGGGAAATACGCAAGTGGTCATCACGGATCACCTTCGTTGGTTTTGGAGGTTGTTGCTTCTCAAGATTTATGGATTTGACATGCATTTTTTGGGGTTGCGGGTTCCAACAACGACATCAATGTTCTTGATCAGTCGCCAATATTCAACGATCTTTTGAATGGAAAGGCCCCAGATGCTCCTTTTACGGTGAATGGAAACGAATACAAATAAGAGTATTACCTTACAGATGGAATATGTCCTCAGTATTCCACATTTATGAAGGCATTCCGCCACCCGGTTGAAGAACAGGACAATTTTTTTAAAAAGAAGACAAAAATGAGCACGTAAGGATGTGGAACGTGCTTTTGGAGTGCTGAAGGCGAAGTGACATATAGTCGAACATGCAGCACGACCATTGGATTTAGAAAGTCTACAATATATCATGTATGCATATATCATAATGCATAACATGGTAGTAGAAGATAAAGGGCGAAATATTACACACTATATCCCAATGGAGCCCAGACACGTTCAGTTTCAACCAGGAACAATATAGTATTTGCATCGCGTTCTTGACATCCAGGATACAAATAAACACATGCAAGTTCAAGAAGACTTGACGGATTATATCTTCTATGGTAACAATAACGATAATAAATAACGTTGTATATATATATATATATATATATATATATATATATATATATATATATATATATATATATATATATATATATATATATATATATATATATATATATTAATTTTGATGTTATTATTATTATTATTATTGTTATTATTATTATTATTATTATTATTATTATTATTATTATTATTATTGGATGTTATGTATAATTTAATTTCTATGTTAATTTTAATCTTTAAAAATTATTATATGTTATTCATAATTTTTAAACGTTATGTTTTATTTATTATGTTATATTTAAAAATATTTGTCTAAATTGAAAAAAAATTGAAAAAAATAAAAAATATATTATAAAATGGAAAAAAGTTTGTGTTATAAGAGGATACAACATGGTGACCATTTTTCCACCTGGTGTTATAACACCATTAATGATGTGACATATGATGTGGCACCAAAATGGTGTTACATCTAGTTGTCCACACCTAATGATCTTAGTTATTTGGAAAATTTCAAAAACATCACAACCATCCTACTAAGGAGCTTACAAATACAACTTTATAACCTTCAAATTTTAAGTGTGATACATCCGGGTATCCATTGTTACGTAGAACATAATGAAAAAAATCATCTCAAACAAACTTCATATAAAAGAGTTATGAAGGCTTAAAGTTTGGCATTTTATATTCTTCACTAACCAGCCTACTTTGGACCTAAAAATGTATGTCTTCCCATCATTCAAAATTAGAAAGTGATATGTCCATAGATAGTTCTTACTAAAGAGAACACAATGAAAAAAAATCACTAAAAATAGATTTCGTATGAAATAGTTATGAAGGTTTAAAGTTATGCAAGAAATTAGATTTTCGTCATTCATAATTGCGAAAATTTAGATGGATTTTTGTAGTCAACGGAGAGTTTTTAGCAGTCTACGCCTCAAAACGATGTCGTTTTACCCAACAAAAAACTTTTTTTTGCACAATGCATGTTGGGTCTTTGAACTTGATACTAATAAGTTGGACTTGTTTACTAGAAAGTCTATGGTTCGAATCCGTATAGCCCTAGAGCCCTATAAAATAGAAATTAATATTCAACAAAATTGTATCATTTTTCGTTTGAATTTACTCATTATTATCGTTTTAACTACTTATTGTTACATCCAAAATAATCATTAATATAAGCCCATTCAAGGGATCGTTTAAAATAGAATATCAAACTAAAACCAAAAATAGATTGCATTTAAGAGAACCGAATCACTTTTTTCGGTTATGGATAAACAAACAAAATTTTGTCAGATCATTGAGATTTTAGCAGAAGGGTATCTGCGAAAATTATAGAATGTTGGTCGTTTTTTGTGTCTGTATGGCTATCTTTGGTAAAACTCATTTTTTGGACGTTGTTAAATTGATTTCTTTAGACCCTCATGAACGTCTTTATTAAAAATAAACATATAATTAACTAGATAGAGCTAACTTTTTCGAAAAACTATTTGGATCAATAAAAATATTACAAAAACTAAGTAGTGGGTGTTTGGGATAGCTTTTAAAAAAAAACTTATTAGTTTTTTAGCTTTTTAAAAAGCAGCTAAAAAAGTGTTTGTCTATTTAAAAAACGTTTTTTAAAACAACTTTTTCGATAGGAAAAAATAAAACTTTCAAAAAGTTGGAAAATCCTAGCTTTTTAGCTTTTTAACCATTTTACTCCTGAGAAAGCAGCTTTTCGCATCCAAACATTTTTTAAAACCAGCTTTTCATAAAAGTCATAAGTTAATAAACATTTTTCTTAAAAATCACTTTTGATATTAAAAAGCTAACCCAAACATACCCATAATTCAAAATGATAAAATGAGATCTTTTCGAAATAGTAATTCAAAACTAAAATAAATATTTTAAGTATAATATAAGACTGGTAGGTGTCAACGTTATTAGGAAAAAGACAAAAAAAAATGCGTTATAACGTGTTATTGTGGTAACGAGGAGCAACGCACAAGCTAATAACGCCTAGGGTTGTTAATCGGGCCAACCCGATTGAGTTTCGGGTTAAACGGGTCGGGTTAGTCGGGTTTTCACAAAAAATAATTTAACCCGACACCCCACCCTATTAAGGTATGGGTTAGTCGGGTTTGGGTGAATCGGGTCTCGGATCAATAGGTCCGGGCTAGCCGGGTTAATACATCTAGTACTTAATTTGAATACATATAAGATTGTTTCAGCAGTGCAATTTTTGATATAGGTCAATCATATTTTTTACTCTTTTGCTAACCGTCATGAATCCATAAAACTGAAATAAATTAAAAATATAAGGTTATGGACCTCTTGCTTATTACAAAAGAGCATGCATACCACACCACAGCCAAAATAATTATTCCATTATCAATATTAAATAGCTCAACTTTCAACAACTAGTTATCGATGAACACCATGTAGATTATCATTGCTTATAGTTAGTTTAAATAAAAATAAGTAGTAGACGCAATAAAATCTTTACTTTCTCAACGACTCCAATACTTTTGATATGTGGAGGTTCAATATCTTTTTGGACTTCAACTTCACAATTAGGAGTTACTTGACCCTCATATACTTCTAGAGTCACAAATGTTTACATTTTCAAAACATTTATAGTTTTTTTGTATTGTTTAAGTAGAGAACGAAGGAATTTGTAAAGGTTGTAAATTCCTAATCATGTTGACCCGAAATTCAAATTTTTTCTTAAAATCAACCCTAAACCCGACCCTACCCTAACTATAAATTGGGTTTGTCGGGTTAACTCGAATAACCCGATTTGAAGTTTTAACCCTATTAAATCTGACCCTAATTACCTTATTTGGGTTAAGGTCAAATCGAGTTAATGAGGTTCGATTTTTTTTTGACACCCCCCTTACCCAACACTCTAGTATACCTATTTATTTTAGGAAAGAATTAGATATCTCGTAGGGGCGATTGTTTTTATTATCCCTATATATATAATTACGCCCCTCTTTTTTCAAAATTCACAGAAACTACAAATCTCCTCCTCTCTTCAATCTTCTTCACTAACACCCCGCTCCCGAGTTCAACTTAAAGAGAGAAAAGAAAGGAAATGGGAGGAAATGAGGGGAAAGTAAGAGAGAATGGTGCTCCCGAGTTTCATTAAAGGAAGTGGAAGGAAATGGAAGGAAAACTTTCCCTCCTAACTTTCCTCCCGAGTTGGGAGGATTTGAAAAGAAATAACAAAATGTTTAACTTTCCTTCCATTTCTCTCCAACTCGGGAGCACAAATGACAATTTCTTTTTCCTTTCTTTTCTCTTCTTTTCTCTCCTTACTTTCTTTTCTCTTTCTCTTCTTTTCTTTGCTTCGGGAGCGGGGTGTAAGAAAAAACACTAAAACATTATCTACTCTCTGTTCCTTTGGGTCGAGTCTGTTGATTTGCTAACCTATTTCCTTCGGTTTGATCAAATGGCAGAGAGAAAGGTGTTGAATAAGTACTATCCCCCCGATTTTGATCCTGCGAAAATTCCAAGAATGCCCAAAAATCAACAAATGAAGGTCAGAATGATGCTTCCGATGAGCATTCGCTGCATCACTTGCGGCAACTATATTTACAGAGGCACAAAGTTCAATTCACCCAAGGAAGAGGTGATTGGAGAAACGTATCTTGGGATTAAGATCTTCAGGTTTTATTTCAAATGCACCCAATGTGCAGCCGAGATTACCATTAAAACAGACTCACAAAACTCCGATTATGTTGTTGAGTCTGGTGCCACAAGGAATTTTGAGCATTGGCGTGCAGAGGATGAGGTAAAGGAAGAACATCAGAGAAGAGATGCTAAAGAGATCGCAGATCCCATGAAGTCCTCGGAGAAAAGAAGAATTGATTCAAACAGACATATGAACATAATTTCTGCCCTGGATGAAATCAAGTCTATGAATTCGAGACACGCAAATCTAACCCTAGATGCAATTTTTGAAGCCTTGCAGCGATCATCTCCATTACAGCAGGAGGACAAGCTTCAAGAAGAGGATCAAGCCCTTATAAAATCCATCTTCCATGGATCAAGAAAGTTTAAGAAGAGGAGGGTTTCTGAGAGCCTAACAAATTACTTGACAAAAACCAGTATTGATCATGACACATTGAACAAAAGAGAAGATCGAAGGGGTTTGAGAAGTTTTGTTTTCAAGTCTTCAGCAGTGAAGTTTTCTGTTGTGAAGAAGCCATTAGAGGCTGGAAGTGCAAAAACACAAGCAAATGAAAAGAAGCAAGAAGATGATAAAGGCAAAAATACAAGTAATGCATTGGGATCATTATGTCAACAGTATGACAGTGATGATGATGAAGAACAATCGTTATGCCAAAGTTAAGAGTAGAAACACACGTAAGTAAAAGTGTAAGCATCATTAATACTCAATTGTAGAAGTCGATTTTCAAATTGTAAATAGTTTGTGACACCAATTTCTGCATGTTTAATTGTTAACGGATTTGGTTTATTAGTACCATTTTTTTTGTAGGTTTATTGCTTTTCTACTTCAAAGAATTTTTTTCCTGGAAAGCTAATTGATCTCATATTTACTACTTAAAGCTTAAAACTCAACTTTGTCTGTTACATATCATTATCCTCGAGTTTCGTTAGCTATGTAATGGTTTTGCTGTTAGAGCTTAAGTTTTATCAAATTTAATAAATCAGTTAAATTTATATCTTATGAAAAATTTCCACCGTAGATTTTAACAAAAATCCTAAATTATATTCCTTCACCATTTTCCAAGTGCATATACCATTGATATAAGCAAATACAAAATACTCATCTGTTTTCTTAGAAAAATGATAATAAACATACAAATTGTGTTGGATATTTTATTTTTCGAAAGTAGATCTTATAAAATAACTATTTTTTTTTCAAACAATACATGCTTTTCCCTGATGTCATCTGCCATTTTCGAAATTGATAACTATTTTGAAGAAGATTTAACAAAATTTTAATTATTTTTTAAAATGATTAATAGAATTAGACACATATATACTTTTTTTCTAATATTACAGATGACTAATTAATTGCTCATTGCGTCAGTTTGGCGCGTCATGTGGACCACGTTATTACGGTGCGCGCCATATCATCGGCGCAAAACCCAACCCGATCAAAAGTCTTCGCCATTTTCGTCATCATTTGCATCGCCATAAACGTCTTCTTCTACTTCTTCAACCCACTTCGAACGACTCCACTTTCTCAAACCTATAAAATTCCTAATTAGTTTTACTTATCCTTGCGATTAATATTCCTCCGAGCAAATTACAAGCCCTTTCCGTTGCGATTAATCAGACGGCGGAGAATGGGATGTTTTGCCAGCAAGAGTGCTGATTCCAAATCCAGCCGCCTCTCTAGATGGCGTGCCACGGGCATTGTAGCATTACGCGACGGAAAATTGAAGGTATTTACCCTTTAAAATTCAAAACTAAACATTGAATCCCCTAAATTCACTTTGTAGTTATGCTGTTTGTTTTTTCTCTTCGGATTTTGCAAATTATCTTTAAAATTGAAACTTTTATGTCGATAAACATAGGGAAGCTGTGCAGGAAAGTAGTTATCTGCGATTAAATGAAGTATTGTCAATCTAAAGTAATAGTTTATCTGCTATTACATTCACACAGAAATTGGGTTTTGGAAAACAAGTTAAATAAACAGAGGATTCTCTCTATTTTAATTACTGTTTGGTTGTCTATCTCAGTCGAGGGGTTTGTTGATTATGATTTGGAACATGGATTCAAAGAATCAAACCATGGGGTATATTGTTTAATGTTTTAACTTGATGTTATATGTGTTAAACAGTCATTTCCAGATGAAGTTCTAGAGCTGGATAAATCTGTAAGAACACTTGATCTAACACACAACAAATTAGGTAATTATCTCGTTTTTGAAAAGTCATTAAATTCCTCAATAACATGTATTCAATTTTTAATCAGACATTTTGTTTCCAATGAAGTAATGAACTCACCATATCTATCTTGTGGCTAATGCAGTTGATGTCCCAGAAGAGATCAGCAAACTAATCAATATGCAGAGGCTGGTATAAACTCAACATTTGCATCATTACATTTCTATTTTCTTATAATTTGGAATTTGTAAAAAGTAAACAAATCTTATAGCTTTCTTTTAACATTTAACATTTCAAGATCTGACATAGTGGCACCTTGTTTTCAGATTTTAGCAAATAATGTACTTGAGCGTCTTCCAATGAATCTTGGGAAACTTAAATCTTTAAAATTTATCATACTCGATGGAAATAAACTTACCACATTGCCAGATGAAGGTATTTTCCTTATTCTCTAAAACCAAATAGTTTTATAAAACAAGCATGTCATTTATATATATTTGTGTTGGAAATTTGGTTTCAAATGTTCTCAATAAACCATCTAATGAAAATAAATTGTTACAATCACATATATCTTAATTCCCTTTTTTTTCTAATATTCTTAAAATCTTTTGGTGTTTTTACAAAATGTTTTATGTGTTCAGTGGGCCAATTGGTGAAACTTGAGAGGTTGTCTATCTCTAGTAACCTGTTAGCCAGTCTTCCTGAAACCATTGGAAGCTTGAGGAATGTAAGTGAATGTATATATTTATATATATTTTTTTTTAATATCAATCTTTATGCAATTTTTTTAGGAATGTAACTTCATTAAAATTTCTAAAAATGCAGTTGTTGCTACTAAACGTCTCGAATAATAAACTAAAGTCTCTTCCAGAATCTGTTGGGAGCTGCTTTTCTTTAGAAGAGCTACAAGCAAATGGTATTCTTTTTTTTATTTTTAAAAAAGAAAAAAAGTTTTCAAAGATTATGTCTTTTAGTTTATTAACTTCATGGTTTGTTTTTTGGCTCAGAAAATTCGATTGAAGAACTTCCCACTTCGGTTTGCAGTCTGATTCATTTGAAGTCACTTTGCTTAGACCATAACAATTTGAAACAGGTAGCTTAAAAGTGGGTCCCATCTGAAACAGTTATCTTTAATGGGAAAATTAATATTTTATTATTATTATTATTATATTGTAGATTCCTCCAAGTTTATTGAAAGAGTGTAAGGTTCTGCAGAATATTTCATTGCATGGTAATCCCATATCTATGGATCAGTTCCAGCAGGTAAACTTCAAGTTTCATTTTTCTGATTCCGTTTGGTTGGATGGAATGGAATAGCAAAAGAACGGAATGGAATAGGCCATTACATTGCATGATCATATTCTGTAAGCACGAAAAACGTTAAAATGTTTAATGAAATAGGCATTTGGTGTTTCAGATGGAAGGATTTGAAGAGTTTGAAGAAAGAAGGAAAAAGAAATTCGACAAGCAAATAGATTCAAATGTGATGATCAGTTCTAAAGGTCTTGATGAGGGCGTTGACCTATGAACCATGGTCAAATTGGCTTTGATTTGTTGTATTTGTGTTTGCTGTGAGTTATTATAAAGAGAATGCTACCTACTGTTGTCTATAAACTAAAGTGTGGAGTTTAATATGGTCAATTTCTAGGGCTTTTTTTTAGATGCTTACCCCCTTGTGATTAGTAAATATGAATATAACTTGGATAAGTTGATCCAATTTGTTGTAAATTACTTACGTGACTGTTATCACATATATAGTTTTATGTTCATGTAGATTGTAAAATCATATGAATTTAATGTTTAAACTTATAGATTAGAAAAAAAATAGTTACCCAAATGGTATAATGAAGCTCTAACTTTAAATATAATAAGACGAGTAAATGAAACATTATTGAACAAATGAGTTAATTGTGCAAAACATAAATCTAAAAAAACTATTTAGTAGAATAGAAGTGGTGTGTATTGTCGAGTAAAAAACAATCCGCTACAACCGTAAAAATATATTTTTTGGGGTTGAGTTGTAATATGGACGCCCTCAAAAAAGCTACAAACGAAGATACTGTCATAGGCATATTTTGAACAACATAGCCATTTTGGTGCATCGACAATTCGACATTCGACAACAATGCAATGTGTTTAAGGACTTCCTTGATGTTGATGTGATTTTCAGGGTTTGCGAAGAAGATAACACCTTGTGAAAATACGTCATTTTCAGTGATAAAAGAAATCGCTGGTTTATGTTGATAGATCTTGTGAGTATAGTATTGCAAAATATAAATAAAAAGTTAATCAAAATTATTTGTTTTATTCCTTTAAAGCAAAAGAAATATGATAAATGAAATGTAAGAAGTGTCATATATTATTTCATTCTATGTTACAAAACAATACTGTTTCGATTTTTTTTTTTTTTAAAGGGAAATCTGTAAAAAAAATCTCAATATTTTGGTCTATTTTAGACAAAAATCCCAAATTTTATTTTGTTAACAAAAAAAAAGTCCCAAGCGGATAAAAAAAATTCAAACCGACAATATTCAATCGGTAAACTATTTTTTTACCTGGTTACCTCTACAAAAGTCCTATTATTTTGCTTAGTTTATGAAAAAGTCATAATTTTCTTTATTTCAACTTTTTTTTTTACCCTTTTACTAAAATTATGGAAATTTGTTTGTTGAAATTATGAATAGAAATAAATGTCTTTAAGCTTTATAAAACTAATGATTAAATACATCTATCACCAATTATTTGTCACAAAACAAAGATGTTAACATCATTTTCAACTCATCATCGTCCATATAATTTATTTCTCATAAAAATTTATGTTACAAGTATTATAAGATATTTAAATTATATGTTAAACACCATAGTACAATCTACCTAAAATTTGGTTGAAAGAAAACCAATTGTTATGTTCATATCAAAAACCATTGATCGGTGACAAACCAATCAGTACAATAGTATGTTAGGTGACACTATAAAAATTCTAGAGAATAATATGAGTTTTTGTGACATTCATAATTTTTGCGGCCAAATAAAACTTTTTTCTTTATGCTTATTTAAAACATAATATTCTTTTTAAAGGATATAGTAGTGCAGAATTTGTTCCAAAACATTTTTATTGTAAGATGATATCAAAAACATTTTCAGAGAAACGCTTTCATTAATATTAAAAAACTTTGGATGTAAACACCTATATAGTAACATAAGCATTAACTAGTCATTATAAGCCATACAACTGTTTATTATTCTAATGGCCTTAAACTCCATAAATCTCTCAGCAGATTTAAAATTATTATCCCTGTGCATTCATATCGCTATCTGTTATATAAAGAAACTGAGTGGGTCGGGTTTAGGAGTCTGGTGAGTACATAAGGTTTTCAATTCAAAATAATATAATTAATTCTTTTAAATATATATTTCACACCAAACAATTAACATCGATTACCCATTCCCGTTATTCTCACACTCTAATCCTAAAATGATGATCTCAAGGTATCTATCCTACCAGATTATTGTAAGCAACGAGTAGATAATACTACATCTGAGATTCCTCATCAATATAAGTCAATAAAGGCAATCATGGGCGGGGGTCGGGACCCGCAGGGGGGGGGGGTTAGAGTACTTGAAGGAACACTCAATCCTTTCTCTTGGATAATATGATTAACACCTACAAATTGCGAGTATATTAGTGTTCCACAAGATTGTATAGAATTGTTAGCGGTCGTCATTTATACTCTGCTAAATAACTAGTCTCGGTAGTATAATAGTACAATGTTGGTTATAGGCTCTCAACATTATTTTATCTTTCACAACCTTTCTTCTACCCACTATGATATAAATATGATATGTAAAATAGATCAATACTTTATCAATATATAATTCAAATACACATAAATCCAGTCAAATTATTTTACCTATCATAAATATCAAAATAGACATGTGTAACAATTAAGCATTTAAATATTTAATATCTATGTGTAAGATAAAAGAAACTATAGACTCACTTGATTTTTGGTGAAAGACTTAGAGTGCGTTTAGTTTCCGAAAAATGGGCCGTTTTCCGAAAAAAATTTCCAAGAAAAATGAGAATTTTGAAAACGCGTTTAGTTCGTTTATTTTTCTAAAATTTTCATAGAAAATGAAAATTTTCCGTTTTCTAAAATTACAAAGAAGTTGAAAATTTTTGGAAAACTAATAATCATTGTTTTCCATATTTTTTTAATTCAAAATTTTTTCTAAAATATAAACACACACCCACTCCTACCCCATCCACCTCTACCTACCCCCACCTTAATTGTCACACCCCCAAACCAAGGATGGCGGAAACGTCCGGGGGTGGAGGACTTCATGTATAGTATCATAACCACAATTTCAATAGTAATTTAAGCAAACACAACCAACATATATATAATTGAAAAAGTTACATCACTTGTATGAATTACATGTTTCAAAATCAATTACAATATGTTGTCAAAATATGAAAAGTTTGACGTCTTAACGTCCCATCCTCAAAAGCACTTGATTACCTGTTTAGTGTTTTCCTGAGAATACGAGTTGTTTGAAAAGTGTCAACACAAAGGTTGGTGAGTTCATAAGCTTTTATTAATAAAACTTAGTAGAAGTCTATCACATGTAAATGTCGCGTTTGTGTTAGAAAAACCCGATATTTTCCTTGAAATCCGAAGAAAAATGTAGCCTTATAACCAAAGACTAAAATGTATAAGAAATCCTCATTTCTTAGTAGAAATGTCGTGAGTTTAAAATGATATGGAAGGTAAATTTCTTAATCAACCTAAAACCTACTTCGGTTTTATGAAACCCCGTAAACTTTATGAATTGTTATCTCCCTAGGTGAGTCGCTATAATCATACTGTGACTATGTGAACCTGCCACGACGTTTCTCAGGCGTCGCGAAAATGAAATGACATTTGTCACCCGTAGACCTGCAGGTCCCACTGTAGCTAGCAGCAAGGTGTGGGGTGTCAAACCCAATATAGATCTATATACAAGTATCACGTTCTCCCTCAAGGAGATTCTGATTATAACTACCAGGAATTATAACCCGCACTCGGACGTACGGGGAGAGATAGAGTCTCACAATATAGGTTAACAAGTTTACGTGAAATGTGTGTGAATATAAATCTTTCTTGTATGAATGTACCCTTTTTGTACGAGTGCGTTGAGTGATGTATCATAAACTATACCTATTATAGTTTATCTAAAATGTATGTAATGTGTATGAATTCTTTTATGGAAATGTATTAGTGATGTGAATTTATCAACTATACTTCTTATAGTTTAATATACATGTTCTAAAATGAATGAATAATATTTAATATGAATGACTTAGTTTCAGTTCATAATGATAAACTAACAAGGAAACACATTCAAATATTAGAACTTATGATCATACACTTTGCTCAACATAATACAAAGTGTTATGATATTTACATGCTGTTGGCTAAATTTAGCCATTCTGCCCTGTTTTTGGAAAAATCATAGAAAAATCATACGAAGTCGAAAACTAGATCCGTAAATTCTGAGAGTTCGAAAAATGTGTCTAGTTTACTCATAATTTTTATCACGATTTTTAATGACCTCCAACTTGAGTGAATAAGTCCAAAATCACAGACTGGTCCGGATTGTTGTTTGAAATGATAGGCAGTTTTGTAAAAATCACCATAAATTGTAGAAAAATCGTATGGAGATGTGCAAGTAGCCATTTTAAAGCTAAGAACTTGAACTAATTGCACCTTGTACAGTTTTGAAAACAAAAATGTTTAAGATACCCAAAACAGTCCGTGAATGGAGTTGAACCTTTCCGATGAAGGCTGTTAGAGAAATTTAGTTATGTTCTTAGTGTTTTAACTTGTATTCCCCCCATAAAAACTTGAGAAAACATGAAAATGTAGGGGTATGAACTCACCTTGAGTGATTTCAGTAGATGAGTGTTGAAGAAGAGAAGTGTTCAACCCAAGAACACTTGAAGAATCCCTTGAAGATTCGAAGCTCTAACGTTAATATGATGGAGTTTGTGTAAGATATTCATGATTTGAGTAGAATGAAGTGAAATAATCATAAGGAGGATGAATTATACTTACTAAGAGTGGAAGAACACTTGAAAACCAGCCTTGAATCTCGAAATTTGAGTGGGAAAAGTTTGAGAGAAAAGTGGTGTTTGATACTTAGTGAAATGAGGGCAATTGAGAGAAATGAGGAGAGAGGATGTTTGTTCCAGCTCTAAAAACGTGGGAATGAGGGTAAATTGAGTGTGAGGGACATTGATGTGACCTAGGTAAGGTGGGGAGGTATGGCTGGTCATAGAGTGGGTGTGGGGTGGTTGCTTGTGACTTTGGATAAGGCAAAGTCAACACTCCACCTTTAATAATTCACCCATTTGATTTTTATTGTTTAAATAATGATTTTCATCAAAATATGTTTAAATTATGAATATTTAGGGTTTATTATGTTAAAATATAATTTCTGGAGAAAATCCCGCTTTAAAATCACGAAAAACGGGCTTAAAATGTTAAAAATATCAAAAATGGGCTAAAAGTGACAAATATGCGAAATCTGGCCGAGGCTCGGCCTTCTTATGCTAAACCGAGAGAGAGGGAGGCAGCAACCGAGAGACGAAGAAGGGAAAAGGGAAGGAACCGAGAGAGGGAGGAGAGAACAGAAGGCGCGAAGAGACAGAGCGAGAAGCGAGAGAAGGCGGGGGTTCGGTTCGGGAATAAGAGGCGAGAACGTGCGAACCGAACGGACTGTAGTGAACAGTAGTGAACAGTACCTTCGGTTCGCTTAGTGAACAGTAGTTTCGGTTCGGTTCCTCTTGA